TCCAGGGCTGAGCCACGCCCAGCCGGGCCTGATTATTATTATTTTTAAATGCACATGTATCCAAACATGATGCAGTTTCAACCAAAAAATTCTACCTTTATCTTTTATCCTGGTTTTTCTAATGAGCCTGATTCAGAGGTAGTAGAAAGCTCAAGTGCCAAAGCTAAATATCTCAATATTTAGAAAACTAAAGCCTTGTGCTTTTACAGTGGTGGCTCGATAAAACTGGTAACAGATCTGGGTTTATTTGTTTGTACCAGCAAGTATGTTATGTACATAATGAACTCTCACCTATTTTCTGCAAGTGTTCTATCTGGATGATCTGAGAAGTCAGAACTTCCTTTCCAGGAGGTCGCTGCACTGATCCAGCATTTATTCTGGCCTGGTCCAAAGCCCTGGGAAGGAGGAGGGCTGCTCATGCTCCAGCTTTCTGATGATGCTCAAGTACTTGCCTTTCTGTAGCATAGTGTTCGGTGACCCACACAATGATCTCCTTTACAATTTTCTCCTCTCTCCTCCAGCGCGGCGTATCTAGCAGTGTCCTTGGGGTCTAAAATACCCAAGATTTCAAGGCAACATCTACTCACTACTCTGTGCTATTTCTGTTCCTCCTCCAAAAAATGTACACGTTATTAACCACTTTCATGGAAAATAACTTATTGGGTGGAAAGAGTTATGTACAAAGGTGGTGCTTGCAGCACTAGTAATGACTTAGAGACTATAGCTGCAGCCGAAAGCTATGCAACAGGTTAAATCAACTATGGTCTGCTCATAAAATGGAATATTAAGAAAACACAATCATTAAAAATGACATTTTAATACTACAAGGAAATGCTTATGCTAAAATTTTGTCAATAAAAAAGTAATCCAAATGTTATTTTAGTACTACTTTTAAAATATGGCAAATTTTCAGCTGATATTTTCTGAGTGATGGAACTGTGGGGACTTTTTTTCCTGCTTTTTTGGGTATATTTTTATATTATCCAATGGAGGGGGGAGGGTAAAATAAGGTAATTAAGGGACTAGGAGTGTTACATTTAATCAAACAAAACTTTGTGGTCTTTCGTATTCTAGGCCTTTTCTTTTTTTAAACTAAGAAAGTCAGTCTGAGGTTGTCTTTGCCAGCTCAACTGTCTTGTCCTATGAACTAATGGTGGACAGTGTTCTGTATGGTGGTGAAGACAGCCGGCTTTTACCAAATGACTGCTATGAGTCCCAGGAATCTAAGTTCTTCATATATAGTATCTCATTTAACTCTCACATCCACCTCATGAGGTAGTATGATTATCCCCAACCTACAGATACTAAAACTGAAGCACAGACGTTAAATACCCAGCTCCCAGTCATCCAGCTACAGTTCAAACTCAAGCCCTCTGGGGTCTGAATAACTACATCATTTACAATACTACATTAGCCCCGCTGGTGTGGCTTAGCGGCTGGGCACCGATCTGTGACCCAGGAGACCGCAGTCAGGGCACATGCCGGGGTTGGGGGCTCGATCCCCAGTCGGGGGCATGCAGGAGGCAGCTGATCCATGACTCTCTCATCATTGATGTTTCTATTTCTCTCTCTCCCTCTCCCTTCCTCTCTGAAATCAATACAAATATATGTTTTTAAAAAATACTACATTAAGTACTTGCTGCATCTTATTAGGACTATCATTTGATTCAAAAAATCTGGGAGGTAAGCTGACTCATCAGGTGCTATTTATATAGGCTTCAAACAATCAGAGCACCCAGGACCAGACCAAAGGAATCTCCCTTAATGCTACCTTATGGAAACTAAAAGACTTTGCCAAAGTCTGTCATAGAGATGGAAACAGCTACCTCAATGAGGTAGTGATGCCACTTACACCTTTTTCTGTGACATCAACCAAATATTCATGTGCAAGGAACAAGACAAAACATATATCATCTATAATCAGTCTTCCAACTTAACTGGGGAGGTAAGACAAATAATATAAAACTGGCACAAGGCAAAAAAAATGCATAATTAAATACTAAGTCATGTGTGTGGCAGAGTGGACAACTAGTGCAGAAGTCAGGTAGGAAGAACTGTCAGCTCCAAAGTATTCTAGAATCTTGAAGGTATAAAAGACAACACTTGGAGATCACCTAGCCAAGTCCAGCATTTCCAGATGAGTGCTAGCAACTTGAGGTCACACAGCTGCTAAGTAGCAGAGTCAGGTAAAGTAGCCCAGAAAGCGGTCTTGGAAAGCTTTGCAAGGATAAGGTAGGGTGAGGCGATGGCCCTTTAGATGAAAACAGTGACCAATATTTCGCTTTCCTGGCTTAGCAAAACCAATCTACCACTGGTTTGATTTTAAGATTGTGAACAGTCCCTGCACTGAGGGCTCAGATTTAAAATTTTTAAATAATGGAAAACTACTAAACTGTTTATTTTATTCCATTTATTGTTTTTAAACATTAGGCATTTTTATATGTTATTGTATTCTACCCAAAATATTACCAAATAGAAACACACCTACCCACACATGCATTCCAGGTGCCTGCCTGAGAAGTGATAATCTCACTGTCCCAACATACCTCTTGTTTGGATAGAAGTAGGTGTCTGATGTTGTAAACTGGTAAGTAGAAATTATTTATCCAGCACTGATGCTTCCACCACTGACATACTCTTAAATTTCATTTAAAGCACTTAAATACTCTGTAATAATTGCTCACAGAAAATCTATCAGACACAAGAAAATGAGGATATGCTTAACTAAGTAGCTTCATCTTAGAGTACCTAAATATCAACTGATTGAGCAGTATTTTTTATAAAAAGATACCGGAATGTTAATAGGCAATGTATAAAGATATTAAATTAAACCTAGTTTTAACTAAGAAATTTTGGTGGTGAACATAGCATATATGACTCAGAGCATGTAAAATTTATTTCAAAACTGTTTGTTCAGCCCGACTGGCGTAGGCTCAGCGGTTGAGCATCAACCTATGATGAGGAGATCCCGGTTTGATTCCCTGTCCAGGCACATGCCCGGGTTTCCGGGCTCGATTCCCAGCTGGGGGGTATAGGAGGCAGCCGATCAATGACTCTCTCTCGTCATTGATGTTTCTATCTCTCTCTCTCTCTCTCTCCCCCTCTCCTTCTCTCTCTCTTTCTCCGAAATCAATAAAAATATATTTAAAAAAATGTTTGTTCAAACCTGAGAAAAGAAAACATGGTATACCGTGTTATAGAATAGTAAGAAGCTAGGGAAATTCCAAGACAAGCAGAACAGGGAAAATAAGACAGATAGTTAAACAGCAGTTTGCAGCCACCTAGTAAATCCTATCTTTCCTAATAGGAGAACACTTAGGAACATGTGGTTTGCACTTCTCCTTTCCAACCAGAGTGTAAATAGCTTAAATCACCCTACTCAGGGTTACTGAGAACAGAAATCCAATTATGTGCTACTTGCCAACCACACACCCAAGGACAGAAAAATTAAAAGAATAAATCTCATGTTGTACATCGACATAAAGCTGATGAATATTCTATTAATCTGCCCCTAAGACCTCTCCTAAACACCCAGCCTTTAAAACCCCTGAAAATGGCCCTAGCTTGTTTGGCTCAATGGTTAGAGTATTGGCTGGCCGACTGAAGGGTCCTGGGTTCGATTCCAGCCAAGGGCATGTACCTCAGTTGCAGGCTCAATCCCCGGCCCTGGTCCGGGAGGCAACCAATGGATGTGTCTCTCTCACACTGCTGGTTCTCTCTCCCTTTCCCTCTCTCTCCCCCACTTCCACTCTCTCTGAAAATCAATGGAAAAATATTCTTCAATGAGGATTAAAAGAAAAAAAACCCCTGAAATGAAAGTCCTAGCACTCTTTCCCTCCAGGGAGCATGCCCCTGCCACTCCATTCCCTCTCTCCTTTCCCCACAGGCACCTGTCCCCTAACCCCTAAGGGACCCCAGGAGATTTGCAACCAGGGGAGCAATGGGCAGTAGTGGCTCATCCTGGGTCCTAGGCTAACCCTCTGAACCTGTCTCCGAGGCCCCCTTGTCTCTGACCTCCCAGTGAGCCAAGCAGCCCAGCCCAGGCTCTCCTGGTGCTTCTTCTATGCCCTTCCTTGTGTCACTGTCCTAAGTACATTTTTTGCTGCAGTCAATAAATTCTTGCTTTCTTTTCTACACTTTGTTTCTTGATTGTAATCTTTCCCTCAAGACAAGAATTGAGGTCTCCTGGTCTACAGCAGTAGAATAATGAAGTCAATTAACTAAAATTTTTATTTTTGTAAAAAATACAAACCACTTTACTTTCTGGCACAAAGCACACAGGCATAAAGTTGTATTTTCTTGTATTCTAAAATAATCATTCCTCTGAGTTTGCAAGTACAAGTTAAGGCTCAAGGTTATTTTTACTCTGTCTCCAAGCCATTATTAGGAGTTGTATTTTCAATTCCTCAGAATTATTTTAAGAAGTGTGATGCCCTCAAATAATAGACCATTCAAGCTAGCAATACTAAACAGAAACACAATACAGTTCGTTATATTTTAGCTATGTAACAGAGAAATAACTAAAATGTGGTATCAAAAGAAGTAAAACAGGTTAATAAATCAAAATTAATCAATATTAAGTTCATAAAGTCATTTGCTAAAAAGTTTCAAAAACAAAGTAACTACAAATTCAGGTGCTAGATGTCTTCCTTACAACCACAGCCAAATCTGCGGTGTGGCTTCAAAGTTCCAGACAAGATCTTAACTTTCAGCCTAAACATTTCAGACCCACAGAACACAGTATCAGAGTCACCATGTCTCACAGTCAGGTTAAAATACTTTCCGAAGTCCTGGAGGCTTTACTTGAACGCAGAAACGCTAAGAGTCTAAATTGATAAACAGAGCAACAGAAGAAACTGAAGCTGTTTGCCAAATATTAAGCTTTTACAGACAAATCCAAAACTTACCTAGCAATTTCCCTACATCAAACAGAAGAACCTGTCTATATGCAAAAGGTTCGTGTTTTAATGCAATTACTTATTAGCATGCAGTTTACTTACTGTGCTTTTTGCCATTTTTCAGCTTCATTAAAGGCACCAAGAAGGAGGTAACTAGTTGAATGATGTTAGAACTCAGACAGGGAAAAAACCAGTTCTACACTGAACCCACAAATTTACATCCCAGAACGCCCTGTAGGGAAGGTACTTTGCAAACTAACTTTACATCTCCAAGCTTTAGATTGTGAAATAATGCAAATCAGCTTTCAGCGCTGTGTATTAGCATTAGAAATCCTCAACTCTACACTCCAATCCCGAAAAAAAAAGAAAAAAAAGAAAAAAAAAGAAAATCCACCTCCAATCCTCATTGGTCCATACAGTTCCGGCCCACATGGTATCAGTGGGTGTGTCTGGCCCAACCGGTCCTGTCATTGGCTGCGAGGAAGCAGCGCTTAATAGGCTGTGATTTGGGGGGTTGTCCAAGTCCCCGCCTCCAGCTCCTGGGCTCACCAATGGACCCAAGGTGCTGGCTGCTACTAGACGATTCAAAGGGCAAGCTGGCTGCCGGAGCGCCAACCCCAGAGACGAGCTAAGAGGAGGGAGAGGGGAGCTCCCACAGTCCCTCCAGCTCTACCCCTACTCCCGGACCCCAGCAAGTCTTCGCTCGCGTGCATTTCTCCATCCACAAATGAGAAAGCAGGGCAGTGCCTCTGCCTTCTATAGAGCCCCGACCTGAGGAGCCTCCGAGGCTCCGAGTCCAATCGGCCCATTCTACAGATGGGAGCAGGCAAGGCTCAGAAGGCGCGCTTTAGTACTTAGCGCCCCTTCCGGAAAAAAAGAAAAGAAAAAAAATCAATCCCGCGCGTCCCCTCGGAGCAGTCCCCGGGCGGCGGGCGCGG